GAACCGGAGGAATGGAAACAATATCCCCTTTCTTCAGCGTTCCGGCGGCGGAGGGAAGGAGCGGAGGAACACTGATTAGAAACAGGGCCGAGGCGAACGCCCCCGAGGAGCTGAACCCAGGCACCGGGGTCTGGGGGTTGTTCGGGGCTGGCCATCGCTCAGCCCGACGTGCTTTGCCAAGAGAGGACACAAGGGTCCAACCTCTTCCCAGCCCAACTACCAGCACTTCAGTCACCCCATGGAGCCATTTCTAACCGACTCTCGCCTCAAGCCCAGGCTCCTCGGCCACGATGGCAACACCAAGGGCTGCAGCTCTGCTTCACCAACCACATTATTTGGCCTCTGCAGGAGCCCGGGTCTGGCCAGGTTTCCAGCAGAGCTCAGCAATTCAGGACATGGGGACGGGGCGGCACTCGGTATCGAGACATCTCAAGAGTCAGACCCCCAAATTGCTCCTATTTTTGGAAAACTCTGACCTTCAGATCCAAGTTACCTGTTCAGATGGAAATTAGTCGAGCAGCAAGATAAAACTGCACAAGACCAGCCTCTGGGGAAAGCCAAGAGCCGGTTTTGCGCGACAGCCCCCTCTCCTCCAGTGTCCGCTCGCTTCTTACCTGGTGAATCGGACTTTGCAGATGTTGCACTCGTAGGGCTTCTCCCCGGTGTGGGTGCGGATGTGGCGCGGCAGCTTGCCGGCCCCCTGGATCACCTTCGCGCAGATGGGGCACTTTTGGAATGCTTTTGCCCTGATCTTCTTTTCCACCTTCTGGGACCAGGACGGATAGACATCGCCCTCGTTCGAACTGCCGAAATATTTCAAGTAATAATCCATGACCCCATCGTCATCCTTTCGGTCATCCTCCCCGAGCTGCTGTCTCCCCACGGAATTCATCATCTGCTGCAGCAGGGCGCTAGCGGCCAAGCCATCCACCTCCCTCGCATCATCCTCCATCTCCGCTTTTTTTTTTTGGGGGAGTCGCCGGGTTCCTGCTGGTCCAGAGGCCCCCCCAGGGTCCCCTCCTCTTTTATGGGTGTGGACAGGCCGTGGCCGCTGTAATGTCCGTTCTGAGAAGGTGAAAACAAGGAGCCAGGAGCCACCTCCTCCTCCTCTCTGTCCAGCCACATGGGTGGCTTGATGTCAGGTTCACAGTCCTCCACCTTTGGTCTTTCGTTGAGGGGGGCTTGCGAGTAGAACTCTAGGCCATTGCAGTCCGGCTCCTCCTCCTCCTCTTTGACTCGGAAGTTCAGACTCTGAAGGTCTCTCAACTCTGGGTTGGTCCACGAAAAGCTGCCTTGGTGGCCATTGACGGGGTTGCTCTGGAAGAACTCCAGGTACTCTTTTGCTCTGAGATGGTTCCTTTGATCAATTTGATCTACTGTATCCATCTGGTCATTTTTGGCCAGAATCTTCCTGTCCAGGAGATCCGTGCAAACATCCCTTACGGCCGGGATCTCCAGCAGTGTGGCGGCGTTGAGGATGTCGTTGACATTTGAAGTGCTGACAGTAAGGGTCGCGGTGTAAGCGAACTCCAGCAGAGCCGACAAGGCGTCCGCGCTCACAAAGTCTATCTCATACACGTTTTGCTGGTCCACCACTAACCCTGAGGTGAAGAGCTTCTTGAAGTACTGGCTACACGCTGCCAGGACGGAGCGGTGGGTGGGGAACTCCTGACCTTCCACCAAGATGACCACGTCGCACAACAGCCCGTTGTTTCTCTGCTCATTCAAACTGCTGAGGATATCGCTGCTGTGATCGGGGAACGGGATCCCTATGGGGCCGTCCACGCCACCCTCCATCGTCAATGCAAAAGGCTACGAGAGAAGGAAAGAGAGATGAGTCACAGCGGCCTCGGCTGCTTGGAGGCATCGCATCGCGCGGGCAAACTCCCAACGCGGGGCAGGTACCTGTCCACCGACAACAGCGTGCTCTGCAGCGAGCGCTGGCTATCGTCTCGCATCCCCTCCACGTCACCGAGTCCACTGTCCTGCCCGGCATTTGGGACATGCCTCCCTCGGCCGGCGAGGACGGACCCGAACTTACCTTCGCTTTGGGAAGGAGGAGAAACCCAGCCCAGGTGCTCTCAGAGGCTGGAAGAACAGCTGAATTAGCACGGATCTGGGCCAGAGCTAGCAAGCCTTGGCAAGGACCAGGGTTAACAAAGCCAGACAGCATCTGGACCGAGCTGGCAGGCACGCCTGGCGTTGGGCTACAGCAGTTCGAGCCTCACCAGTGGACCCCAGTCCACCTCTGCGAGTATTTCCCAATCCCACCACATCTACTGGAAAGGTCCTGTGCCTGTTCAGCCTCGCCCTGTCCAGACAAACTCCTGATACAATCCCATAACCACCGGGAAAACCATGCCCATCGCTCGGCCCCGGGCTCGCAGGGTCTGCAGACACGCTCGGAGAGATGCGGGCAGGGGTGCCGGCACCGAGCATCCTCGGGAAAGGGCAGAGCAGCGGTCCAGAGCCCCAGGGGGCAGGAACTGGGGAGCACCGACCACCCCTGCTGCTGCGGAGGCTGTTTTCCCAAAAGCCAAGCTTAAACACCTAAACCCAAGGCACCCGCAGCACCGTCCCCAAGAGCAGGAGCCTCTGCAGCGGCCGGAGAGGAGCCCAGTCTCCCAAAACACCGTCAGCAAACCTGGTACCGGCCCCCGCATCCCGAACGGCTTCAGGAGAAGCAGCGGCTCCTTCCAACGCCAAAGGATGTGCCAGCACGGCACAAACAGATCCACTTGACTTTAAATCCATCCTCTCTCCAAGGGCTGACAAAGCCGGAGGCAACCAAGCAGCCCAGTGCCAGCTCGCCTCCGTTCGGAAGAGATCCTGCTTCGCCGGGAGACACGCACCACGGCCAAACGCGGACGAGAGCGAAACTGCCCGGCCCCACCCCGCTGCCTGCCCTGAACGAGCCCCTTAACCTCCCCCAGGCCCAGCCTCGGGACATCTAAACGGGGAAAAATATTTCCCTCCCCTCCATCTCAAGCAGTAAACCCCTCTCCTCCTGGCAGCATGGATATTTTCCACCTATAAATTGATTTATCTGTCCCCTGCACCCCAAAAACCGGACCATCAGGAGCTAACACAACCAGCAGTACATCCGCACACAAATAAATTTGGTTCATCAAATACCTCGGCACAAGGGTAAGTATCAAAGTCCCCAGTTTACAGATGGGGAAACTGAGGCACGGTGGCTTGTCCCGCATGATGGGGCGTGGGGGGGACACGGATGAGTCAGGAGCACATCCAGAACAGAAATAATTACACAGGAAACGACTCCCAGCCCCGCGTTCTCGCATGGGGAGCTAGCAACCAGGTTGCAAAACAACACTCTGCTTCCCGACACATACACACACCCCCCGCCCCCAGCCGGGGTTTGACAGAAGATTTCTCAGTTGTTCTTCCTATTTTCTCATTTTTTAAAAAACTTCATTAATCCAAGAAAAAAAAAAAAAAAAGGAATTTATGCTCCTTTGTGGTTTATACAAAGAAAACAGAGGAGAAGGCAGCTCCGAGTCCATGGAACACCACCCGGAAGCAAACCCCTCGATATTAAACCCCCAGTAACGCAGAAACCAGCCGTAGGCTCGTGACGCCGATGTGATGGGGGGTCAGGGCGGGAGGGAAGGACCAGGAGAGCCGGGCGGGATGTGCAGCGTTGCCGGTGCGAGTCCGGCCACCGAGGCCAAGCACCGAAACAAGGGCACCAACTCCAGAGCCACCTCCCAGGCTCCTGCAGCAGCAGGAGTCAAACTCGAAGCCGTATTTCACAAGGTTTCGGGGCTTTGGGGGGTTTTAAAAAAAAATAAATAAATAAAAAAACCCCACACCAAAAAACCAAGAAGCCTCTGTCGCTAGGGAGGAAAAGGCTGTTTGACAGCCAAGCGCAGCCTGGGCCAGGAAAGCCAGCACCGCTCCAAATTCATCGGCTTCAGGTGTGACCTTGGGCAAGGTCACAGCATCCCTGCATCCGCAGAGTGTCCGAGGGACCCCCCCATCCCGAGGGGCTGGGCTATAGGGGAGGTCTCTGCTGTCTCAGCATCTCTTCCCCCATTCCCTGAAACCCCCCCAACAGAGCCACCAGGGCACACCCCACCCCAAAAACGTGGGTCTGAGACCTCTGCCTGCCCCCCAACACCTCCTGGCCCCACAAATTCCATCAGAGCTTTTCCCTCCCCCTTTCCCCTCTAGATGAGATGCTTCAGGAAGCTTCTCCCCCTCCCAGCACCAAGGAGAATCGGAGATGCGGGAAGTGTTTTGAAGCTTCAGGCGCTGGTCTTTTGGGCAGCCAAGCTCCATCACCCACACAACCGGGCGCTTTCGGCTGCGGTGGCCGGCTCTGGGGACCAAGGGGGCCTGGGGGAGTGAGTTAAGGCCATGCAGGAGAGGTGTCACCCCCCCCAGCCCAGCCAGGGGGTTGGGACAATCAGCTGGACAGTGTGGGAACGGCTGCAGGGTCATGAGACTGCGGAGGGCTGGCATGAAAAATTGTACAACTTTGCAACTCATTCTCCTCGCACAACACGCCCTTTGTGTCCCTCATCTGCACCGGGCTGAGAACATCGAGGGGCAAACGGGCTGGCCTGAGCCCCCCCACCCCAGAG